ATGACCAACAGAGAAGTGATTAATACATCTGAGTGATTAGTGATGAAGTGATTAATACATTTTTGAGTTGTTAAGAGTTTATGTTAGTGTATTTATATACAGACTTTGGCCCAGTGGGTGATTCATTTAGATCCAAGAAATAATCTCAAATTCTTCTTTCTAAAGTAAAACCTCAATAACTAGATAGTTGATTACTCTAATTCCTTTATATCTTAATTTTTCCACAATCCCCTTGAAATTCACAATGCAAAAAGTACCTTTTAGGCCTATATGTAGAATATTTTAAATATTTAAACTTGATAAGTCCAATTTTAACTGTTTTGCGATCTAACTAAAAATAACTAATAATACTAAACCTCCTTTTTGAGTGATATGCAAAACATGTTACTTTCATGTTACCAACATGGACATTCCCAGATGTTTCCTAAGTCAAAACATTGGGACTTACATTTTATATTACCAAAATTACAAGATCACTATAATATGAACCGTTTTGTGTTTGCACGATAAATTTTTTTATCTTGCTTTTAAGTCTCTCAAAAACAAAAACTCAATAACTCAAATTCGTAACCTTGCCCATTCAGTTTGAGATGTCAAGGTCCTACTGTACTAGTTTTGACTGTAGTAGTATTTTTAATATACCTATTTTTCTCTGCTACCAAGCTCTAAGAGTGATGTTTTTCCAGTTCTTCCCCAACGGATACGCATTTGCGACGGGGTCGGACGACGCAACGTGTCGCCTCTTTGACATTCGGTCCGACCAGGAGCTAGCAATGTACTCTCATGACAACATCATCTGTGGAATCACCTCTGTGGCGTTCTCTAAGTCCGGACGGCTGCTGCTCGCCGGCTATGACGACTTTAACTGCAACGTCTGGGACTCCATGAAGACAGAGCGTGCGGGTAAATATCTCCCCCCTCCACTGAGAGTGATTTAACCCTTCAAGGTGGTTTGACGAGACCCACTTGTCATGGACGCAACCCACTTGGTGGTGGTATCTGACGATGAATCAGGGAACTATTTCAAAGTAGGACTGTATACAACACATTTCCCAATAGTTGCTTGATCTTTTACAACTGTTCCCAATTATTATTTTGAGTGCAACAGATTGTTTTCAAAGGTGAAAACCATGAGAGAAGGTTATGAAACCTTCAGTTGTAAATGTGGACCTATAATATCAGTTACAGCCTGTTTATTTTTGAATTCTATTTTGATGATGAAATCATTAATTTAATCATAACTAGCACCAACTCCTATGTTAAAAAACCGAACGGCAAAACGAGAATGGTTTGGCAGGATTTTGGGAAAAACCACCGAAGCAGGATCCAGAGGGTATTGAAAATCCTGCTTTGAAGGGTTGTGGGATCAGTATTTTGTTTGTGTTGGTTTATTTTGTATAACGTTTTGGACAAATTAGGCTTGTAAAGAGCATAAAAAAGTGAATTAATTTAATTAATAATATTTACCAAAGAATAGATTCTGGGCCAGTTTTAATTGCTAGATTAATATTAAGTAGTCTCCTGCTGCTTTAATGTTAGTTAGTAATAAGATCGTTGTTTTCACTGTTCCATTTTAAAAAATCTGCATAAAGATGCCACATCATTTGATGGATCACATCCGTAGCCGAATCTTTTTCCTGAATAGATTCAACACACTACAAATGATTTGGTTAATGGTGGCCAAATTCTGCTAAATTAATTTTGAGTACAACACACATTCTACATTTTTTCTTTTAATTTGTACTACAGTAGAGTTCCACTTTACCGAACCCCGCTATTTTGAAAGTCTGCCTATTCCGAATAAAGATTGGCAATTTTTTTTTAATGTGTTAGTATGTTGCGCATCTTTGCAGATGTTTTCTGCAGTCGCAAAAACCAAAGATTGGATCTATCATGGCGTAGTCGTAAAGATCTTCTGAGATTACGGCAAAATTGTCAACATCTTCCGTAGTTGTGGAGACATCATCATTGTCTCCCACAGTCGCAATGATTAATTATTAACAGAAATCCACTTATTCCAAATTCCCTCTAATCGAAACAGGGTTCAGTTCCTGTTAGTTAGGAATTACTGGACTCTACTGTATCATCAAAAAAGACTATATGGAGTGAGGTTGTATTTTCATAATCTTCTTACTGTTTCCCGCTACTTTTAAAAATGATTAGATTACAATCCAGTTTGAGTTCTGTGGCCATGACTAAACTAATGGTATATTGCAGGTATCCTGGCGGGACACGACAATCGAGTGAGCTGCCTGGGAGTGACGGAGGACGGCATGGCCGTCGCTACAGGATCTTGGGACAGCTTCCTGCGAATCTGGAACTAAACAAGCATCATGAATAACAAACTATATGAAACACTACAGTAGAACCCACCTCGGTGACCCCCGTCTTCCAGTTTTGAAGCAAAGAGTGGGGTCACAATCCCCGCTCTACCCTCGGGGTTCTACTGTATTTATTGTTATTATTATCGTAATATATTTTTTAAAATTACTTATTATCTCCTACATATGTAATTCGTTTGTTGAGATTCGACGGTGGTATTTATTATTTTATTTATGTTGAAACGGTGTTACATTCGACGATCACAGCATAACGCACGTTGTACACTCACGATCGTTACTTCGCACACGGTATTCTCTTAGTAGATTGTCGCGATCGGAACTCCATATTATTTATTTAAACAAAAAAAGCTTAGACTTCTCCGGCATCGTACAAAACTGTAATGGCACAATTTTTTATTTTTAAATCGTGGACTCGTTTTTAAGATTTAGTGTTTATTGACCACCGAGTATATTTTCTGCATTTACGATGTATTATATTCTGTTGGAGGGGATTTTTCTAGTCATACGCAGTCTTACCTCGAGCAACATACCTATTTGTACAGGGACCAGCTACAACGGGGCAACAATTATAATGGATTTTATCTCTGATTTCTGTCTGTCAGCACGGGATGTGATCCGTAACCTACTGTATTTCATGAGTGCTTTATCTTATATAAGTAGAAAATCATGAATGAGTAATTACTGCCATTTGCTTATAAACATGTTGTGGGTGAGACTTATAGGATAATATGTGTACTATTACAAATTTCATCACACTAGATTTTGAGAAGAAAATAATACATATACTATAATTATTATCGAAGTGATCGTTTAGATATCCCCCTCCCCCAGGCGACGACCTGGCGTAGAAACCCTTTTTGTATATCTATGGAATATTTACTAACAACAAGACGTGTGGCTTTCGAATATTTTACTTTTTTAATGGACATTTACTTATTTATTCCTGTGACGAGAACGGTTTCTTTAGCTTGGTGACTGCGCATCAGCCTAGATCCGAAGTCTGTACATGTATAAACAGTGTGAATGCGGAGGGAGAAGCGCACGCCAAAGTGTGTCTATTTGCGACATTTCAACTAACTGTATTACCGTCATTTTCTTTGTAAGAATGAGTTTTAGGTTTAGAGTTTAATGTGTGTACCGTACCGTTAATATTATCGTCCGGGAGTACGAATGATCACTAGGTCGTATACGGACGTCTCCAGCTCCCTCTTAGTTCGTGTGGATGTAAACTGTTTCAAAACTTTGGGCTCTCCCGCAGGCAGCACTAGGCAGTGCTCATGGGTTCGAGTGTAAAAAAATCAGGTACATCGAATCTCAAAGGATAACAGACTCGATGTAAGGGCTCAGGGTATTTTTACACGTAACCCAGCTAAATTAAAACCCACCTCTTGTAAGCGAATGGCATATCACGGAATAACAGGCTTGGAAGTAGGTGTATTGGACGAGCACTGTCAGTCGCCCAAAGCTTTGGAAATCTTCCCGTGCGGGTCGGGGTGTTATCCCTCCGATCCGTGTCGTGGATGTCTTTTGAAAGGAAGACATTTGTATTATTGTACAATACGAATAAGGCGGGGCAAATCGTCATTTGCCTCGTCTTGGGCTGTTTCTATCTATTGCAAAACATGAAGTTTGTATATGAGTGTCCTCTTCTTTTGTCATCAACACATTGTGGGCTGCTTTCAAAGTGATTTTGTTCCTGTGGCAAAGAACGCTTGAGTTTGCCCGTTTTATTTGCTTGAACCTCGACAGGACGTGATGTGGAGGAATCGAACACTCTCATATTTGCTGCCATCACACCTGTGACAAGGCAAGTTACCACGTTATAACCCGAGGTAACCCTTTGTCCATTGTGCATATAGTAAAACAATTGTGTAGTTTTATGTTATCTTTTTGTATATGATTCAAAAAATTAATCTAAAAAAGAGAAAATTTTATTACAAAATTATTGCAAGATGCTGTTTAGCTTATGAATGACTGTTTTATTGTGATTCGTCTTGTAAAGTAAACTATAAAAAATCTCACTTGTCCAATAAAGCTACTTGTCTTTAATTGTGTTTTATTGAAACCGTTAGATTTCCTAATCTTTTATGTAGAACAGATTAGTTACTTATTGATTAATTCCTCATTAGGTTAAGCAATTAATTCGCCAAAGGCCTTGGGCTCCAGCTCCCCCAGCAGGACCCTGTCCTCCAGTACACCTCACTATCACTACAACTCACAGAACTGTCCCCGAGAACAAGTGCACTGGCCTACTTAAAGGAACAACCTTCTGTAGGTCAGCACAAACTGTTATTTATTTCCTCAGACTTGTCTCCACATGTTTGGACATCCACTGGGCTTGTTTGTGAGACTTTTATATCAATTAATAAAGCTAGTGAGAATCAGTTGGGTCCTTGATCTACCTTTTTGTAAAATTGTAGCCCAGTCAATTCAGTAGTTTATCTTTTCACCCGGAACAAACACACAGTTCCACAAAACTACCTCTATTCAATAATATATTTTCTCCTCCTTTTTGTTATTAAAAAAACTTCAGACTTTCAATTTCCTACCAAAAGTAAACAGGATAGAACAAGCTTTAACCCTATTCTACTCTCAACCTTTAAACCCTCTGGAAACTAAAACTCTAGTAGGGTAGAAAAAATACAATAAGTACACACATTACAAAACAAGTATAGGTTTATTTGTCATAAAAAATAATCAAAGTCTTAAATAACAATAAAATTGAAGGTCGTGTTTATTTTACTTTAACTACACAGCTCAGTACTGTCTACATATTGGCACATCAGGTCTCCGAAGTCTCCTCTGATAGCTTGATTCTGGTCGGAATGTTTGTAGTTCTGAAAAATAATTTTATAATTTAATCGTTGATTATAAGACATACATCAGATGTAAGCTGAACTAATTATTATAAGCTTATTATAACTACTTTTAAGCTTAACTACAAAGATCTTTGCTATGGTAAAATTCAACAATAGCTAAGCTTCTTTTCTTTTCCTATAAATCAAAGGTGCTGTCAGCAAAATGTTACAAATGTTACACTCTTAGAGTAAACGTACAAATTTCTAGCAAATTTTTATTTCTGATTTGTATTTTTTGATCTAAACAGGGTGTCCACCGACCGGGAAAACCGGGAATTATGCGTGAATTTTGTATTTAACCGGGAATTTTTTGCCGCGATCGCGCATGACGACGATGATATATCCGTGACCGCGGAAAGCGACGATGACGTTTCCGTGACCGCGGAAGATGACAACGACGTTTCCGTAACCGCGGGAGACGATGACGACGTTTCCGTGACCGCGGGAGACGACGATGACATTTCCGTGACCGCTGGAAACGAAGATGGCGTTTCCATGACCACGGGAGACAACGGTGATATTTCCGTGACCGCGTGTGACGACGATGACGTTTCCGTGACTTCGGGAGACGAAGATGACTTTTCCGTGATCGCGCATGCGGACGATGACGTTTCCGTGAACGCGTGAGACGATGAGGATGTCCAAACGGCCGCGGGATATGTTAGTGATTTTGCCGCGATTGCGCATGCGGACGATGACATTTCCGTGACCGCGGGAGACGACGATGACGTACCCGTGACCGCGAGAGACGAAGATGACGTTTACGTGACCGCGGGAGACGACGATGACAAACCCGTGACCGCGAGAGACGACGATGACGTTTCCGTGACCGCGGGAGACAACGATGGCGTTTTCGTGACAGCGTGTGACGACGATGACGTTTCCGTGACCGCGGGAGACGACGATGGCGTTTTCGTGACCGCGGGAGACGACGATGACAAACCCGTGACCGCGAGAGACGACGATGACGTTTCCGTGACCGCGGGAGACAACGATGGCGTTTTCGTGACAGCGTGTGACGACGATGACGTTTCCGTGACCGTGGGAAACAACGATGACGTTTTCGCGACAGCGTGTGACGACGACGATGTTTCCGTGATCGCGGAATATGACGATGACGTTTCTGTGCCCGCGGGAGACGATGACGACGTTTCTGTGACCGCGGGAGACGACAATGGCGATTCCGTGACCACGGGAGACGACGATGACATTTCCTTGACCGCGGGAGACGACGATGACGTTTCCGTGACCACGGGAGACGACGATGACATTTCCTTGACCGCGGGAGACTACAATGGCGTCTCCGTGACCACGGGAGACAACGATGATATTTCCGTGACCACGGGAGACGACGATGATGTTTTCGTGACAGCGTGTGACGACGATGCCGTTTCCGTGACTTTGGGAGACGGTGGTGATGTTTCTGTTACTGAGTGAGATATTCAAGATTTTTTGTTTATCGCAGAAAACGATGATGGTGTCTCTACGACTGTGTTAGATGATTACAATATACCAAAAATTTCAAAATGGCACACTTCTAGAAAGTTTTTTTCTTATTTTTTTGTAATATCTTCATTTACCTTTAACGTGGTATTTATTTAATGTGTTTAGAAGGGTTTAAAAAATAAATTGGCTACGTGCAATTTTGTAATTTCTGCATTATTATTTCTGTAGGCCACTTGGAAAACAACCCATTACTCCAAAATTATAGTATATGAAAGTACATAAAGCCAGGGGTTGGTGTAGTTATCCTTCAGAAAATTTTGTAAAATTGAAATTATCAGTTTTAAGAATCTATTTTTCAGGTGTCTGTACAGAGATTTAATAAATTTTGGTATCGACATATCACTATTTTTAGGAAGTTATTAATAAATTGCAGGTTTAATGATTAGTTTTAAATTTTTGGATTATTTAATCAGTAATATATAAAAATTGAATACTTGTGTCAGGCAATATTACAGCAATCATAATTTTTTTCCCCTTAACTCAGAATGCTCTTTCCGATGACTAAAATAGCGAGCTGTGTTAGTGCTAAAACAGCATTGCAGAATTGGCGCAAAACACGTTGGAAATTTTAGTATGAAAAGTACTTCCTGAACTACCTGGAATTTTTTTTTACTCATGAATTTTTTCTGGTTGGCCTGGTGGACACCCTGTCTAAACTATTTGCAGGAAAAGAACTAAGTAAATTATCTCGGCACACTATCGATTTATTTATTGATTGCACTATTGTACGAGGGCTATCCAGAAAGTAGATTACGTTTTTGTCTGTATCGCTAGGGGCGGGGCTAGCACGACCATCTGGGTGTTAATTGACCATCTTGGTGTTAGTTTGTTATGCAGCTCAGTCGGCATTCAGCCGTGCTAGTAAGAGGTTTCTGCTGTACTCCGTTGAGTTACTGTGACAGTTTAAAATTTCTGTGTTAATTGAAAATGCCGCGAACTGTGAAGTGTGTGCAAAAAAAAATGATTGGACTCTTTGGTTACAGTTTGGTAACCAAGCTTTTCCGGTTATGATATCGTGCAACAAACTTCGCGAAATTTGTGGAAAACCCATAGAGAGTTTTGTTATTGTGAACTTTCGAGTTTTACGGACATCGGCATCAACTGTTTCGACAAGTTCGGCAGTCACAATGCTGGGTCTTCCACTTCGCTCTTCATCGTGAACATTAGTTCGGCCATCTTTAAATTTGATGACCCACTGACTAACTCCACCTTCAGTAATAATGTTTTCTCAATAAACTTCACAAAGTTGCCGATAGATTTCTATCGGTTTACAGTTTTTTGCAGTCAAAAACCTTATAACTGCACGCACCTCACAGTTCGCGGCATTTTCAATTAACACAGACATTTTAAACTGCCACAGTAACTCAACGGAGTACAGCAGAAACCTCTTACTAGCACGGCTAGATGCCAACTGAGCTGCATAACGAACTAACACCAAGATGGTCGCGCTAGCTCAGCCCCTAGCGGATACAAACAAAAACGTAATCTACTTTCTGGATAGCCCTCGTAGATATCCATCCAGCCACTAAATCAATGGCAAAGAAGGGGTCAAAAGGACCAAGAATATATTTATAACAGACAATAACAAGACAGTAAATTGATATGACAATCAGCAACTTACTTAACCTACTGTTGTTTAGTTGTTTTACCAAATATGTTGTATTTTTTACTATTGATAGAAGTAGACACCCTAGTTCTATGTGAAAGTAAATTTAAGTCACATCAACTATCATACTGTCAATAACTAAGTGAGAAAATGTGACGGGCAAATGCAAGGTAAAAGAGGCTGTCAATCTCATTTGTGAAAAAACTACAGTTGCATTTGCAAAAGTGAGTAGATAAAAAAAATAAATAAAATCATTCAATTGCGTAATCTGAAACATTCAAAACTGAACATTTAAAAAATTAATTAATTCGCCAACCAAAACTTATTGTAATTGCGCATGACTTTTAAGTGCTGCTTCAAATGTTTTGTTAGAGTACTGACCTTGTTGATCATGACAGTAGGGACGAAGCGGGACATTCTGATGCTGTAGCTCTTAGTTTCTGCCTCAAGTTGCAGACGATTTCCCTCCTCAGAACTCATACAGCCTTGGACGTCTTCCCAGTTCAGGCCACTCTTGGTAGCACACTGAGGACAAATTAAAGATTTATAAAGTTGCCTTGTAGTCTACAACTACTAATACCTGCTTCCAGCATTGATTTCACCATAGCTCGGTTGGTTGAAACGTTGAAAGTATTGTTTTTGTCGAGTTTGGGGTGGAAATATCCGTTTAGGTACACAAAAAAGTTGTTTTCAAAGTGATATGTGGTTGTGTATAGATTTTGATTAAATTTTGTATGTGGGAACCAACCTATGATATCTCCAGGCATTTGATCATTTTTTATAAATTTTGATTCTTAATGTTGATTTTTCATAAAAACCCATAAATTAACAGAAAAAACTGATTTTTACAAAGAAGTGTTGAACTTTGTTTAACACGTTCGCTGCAGCAATAGTACTAAATTTTTAATTCATATGGACCGGCGACGCACATAGGCGACGGTTGGTTTCTACCCATAGACTGATGTCGCAAAATACTTTCTCCATTTGCTATGCATAAGAGGAGAAAGTTAAATAGAATAAACTTACATCCTGTCCTCCAAAGTCAGGGTCGCCCATGAAGCAGCTGGCAAAGTCAAGTTGTTGACGGCCTGGAGACAATCTCGCTAGCGCACACGATAACACCATGTTGCCTCGACACTCCTTCTCTCCATGTTGGCAGACAAAACCATCCTCTGTGCTCTGAAAACACACTTTTGTAACTCAGGGAGAAGCAACAAGGGAACACTGCATTTTACTCTATTAGCGAATTTCCCTATAGGGAAGTAGCTGTTACTGTCGGTGGCACGGTAAGGCCAAGGCCCAGGACCAATTTCATTTTTCATTTTGTTGTCCCCAGAGGCCAAAAACACCAATAGATCAAATTTGTATATAATATGTATATATATACAGTGGAACCTCGATAACAAGTGTATTTTTCAAATCCCCTTGAATTTATTTTACCTCCAAACACATGTTACTTCAAACCTCAATAAGAGGTCAACTTTGATAACCAGGCTTGTTAAAACGTTTTTATTAGCTCGCTTTCTTGTCCGGTACAAATTTTGCAATCAATTTTAAACTATGCATGCAATGGATAATAATAGTTCAATATGTGAAGATAATTGAAAAATTAGCGCGCCCCACGTTTTTCGTTTTAAATCTTACAGGTATTTATTCTCTCCACATATTTATAAATTATTTTCATCTTTTAGAGCGTTTAAAAACGTGGCATTTTTAAAAAGTATTTTTTCTTTATAATTATTTTTTATAATCCCCAAGAGTTATGTATGAGAGTCTTATTCAAGGTTCTACTGTTTATAGAGTTTAGAGTTATATTATGTGAACGTGATAACTTGAGTAATGTTTGTCCGATTTTGATCAAATTCGGCTTGAAGGTGTGAGGCGGCATAAACTTGAATAAGTTAACAAACCAGCATGATCGGACCATGGGAAAGGGGTTTTTCGGGGGGGTCTTATGGGGTGAAAATTGGGTTTTCTAATTTTTTAACCCTCAAAAAACAAACTTTCCCAATTACTGTCTAGACCTTTTAAAAGAGCTTAAAAAGACTTCATCAATGTGTTTTTTTACGGTTATTGGTAAAGGAGAAAATTCAAAAATGTTTAATAAAAAATCCCATGTTATTTTAATAGAGAATATATTGTAAAATGTTGTAGTTTGCTTGTTTATGGAGATGTTTTGGTCAAACTGTGTAAATTTTATTTATTTATTACTAACCTATTAATATTTTACTAAAAAAACACACTTAATTATTTTCCCTGTAGCAGCAAACCTAGGTACTCGGTACTCGTTAAAACTAATATTATTTAATAGATTTAATTAAAAATCAATTCAGGCGGATGGAAATTCGCTTAGTCTGCAGGTTAGCTGCGGCAGGGGTATTTTGATGTTTGCTATAGTTCTGTTTGCAACATAAATTTGGTTTTCCGCAAGAAGTGTGTACACATCTGTTTATTGTACTTGTTTTCAAAGGAAAAAGTTTTTGCAAAATATTTTTAGAAGATACATAATGTTAGTATTAGCCTACATAATGTTGCTAAGAACCGGTGGAACCGAGAACCGACTTTTGGAACCGACACATCCCTAATTCATAATCAAACATTATGTTTTAAACATTTTGTTGGAGACTTCAATGTAAACACAGCTTTTAGTATATCAAAATCACATGTCTAATCATAAGAGGCTTGATAAACACCAGTGTTCTCAACAACTCATTTGAATGATTTTCTTTTATTATGAGAGCAAACAATGAACTATAAACTCATTTTTGTTTGATACTGTATAAACTTTTGTAGGGAGACACAGAATAAAAAACCTGTTCCTGTACATATAAGGGTAATGTTTAGTCATTGTTCAAAATGTCACTCTTGCCAAACACCTACTAACATTACATGCACAGTAAACACTCACCCTGGCTTTACCGAAGGGTACCAAGTCCAGGGTACAATGAGGCTCAAGTTTGTGCCACAACGGGACGAGTCTCTGATGGATGAAGTTCCTACTGTCTGGACAATGTGACTCAAACAGCACGGCTAGATCACACTGTAAACAACACATGTTAAAGTTATCGACAGGTTGTTAAATGAAAATGAACATTGTTGAAAGTAACTGGTGCTGATGACTGTTACAGATTTATGTCAAATATGCATATTTCTTAACAGTGCTCGGTTTGTAAAACATGAGGTGCTTTAACTGTAACCTATTTAATGTGATTAGTACCTATTTTTATTTATGCCAATATTTTAATCTTTCCGAAAGAGAGGTACCGGGACTCCGTCCCCAAAAAATCAAGCATTGCTTCTTAACCAAGTCAAACTGATAGGATGGTTTAGACACTAGTACACTATGCAAGGCAATAGTGTTTCCTTGCTTAATGCTGGGTTTTCCTAGGCGCAGAGTCGGCGAGCGGAGAGAGGAACGCGGAGAGCGGAATTGAAATTAACATGGCATTCCGCTCCGCTTCTAGGAAAACAGTAACATTAAATTGCCTAAGACAAGTAGAGTCCGCTCTCCGCTCGCCGACTCCGCGCCTAGGAAAACCCGGCTTATGCTTACATAACTATGTTATTATTTTGATGAAAACTTGGTGACAGCTAGTCCAAATAGATAAGAGGGGTGTATACTTGTCTGTGGTTATATTATTCTCTCCTGCAACATTTTCCTGTTGTAAATCACAGGTACAGCAGCTAGTTTCCAAACAATTGAAAGTCTAAATAGTAATGTCATCAGTTTAAAATTTCAGTACAGGAGTTCTTTGAACTCAAGATTTAGGTACATTCCTGGTTACGAGATAATTATATAGGTAAACCGGTATAGACAATTTTGGAAAGAACAAGCTGTGGTTTTGAGTTTATCGTTCAAATAGTGACTTATATCCGACGTGAAAAGTAAATTTTCTGTATGTATATTGATTTAAAATTCCAGGTTTCTTTATTCGTCCTATTTCTTATTTGACTTATAAGATAAAGTTATAGTTTACTGAGTAATGAAATTTTTAGCATACATTCACATTTTTGTCAATATTTTAAGTCATTTTCGTTAATTATTTATAATACTATACTATCTAAAAAGATTATGATGTAATGATAACTTAGTGTACGGTAAATTATTTTTAACCAGACCCATGTACTGTTATGTAATGATTAGGTATTGATTGCACGATTGTTTATTTTCTAATTGTGATAAGGGAAGTTAAATGTCAACAAAGCATAACCTTGGCCATCGCCGTGATCTAGTTTATTAACTGGGAATGTTGGCATCCTTGGAACAATCTAGCGAGGTGAGCCAAGTCGTCATGCATGCGTAAGGTTCAACAAAGTATTTTGCAAGTGGAGTGTCACAAGCCGACTTTGAGTCAACTAACAACACATATTGATGAAAAACTGTAGAAATAGTTCCATATAAGTATTTTGATTTTTTATCCAGACAGTGTGGGGGCATTGAGCGTTTCACTATCCGATCGTATAAGCATTAGGCCTAAACAATAGTTGTGGAAAATGTTAAAATGTAAATTTTTCAGATAAGGTTTTATTTAAATGTGGTCACCCATATACTAGCTTTGTTACTACGATTTACAGTACAGGTTCTTTAGCCATGGTCGTTTATTGAAAGCATATTGGCCAAGGACAGCTCTGGGTCCAGTTTTGAACCATCAAAAAGCGTAGCCTATGACTTTTTCTCAAGATTGATCTGGAGACCTTTGGATTTTGAGGTAAAAGAAACAGAGAGACTACTCTTCACAATAACGTCAATTGTTTTCAAAATATATTTATAGTTTTTCTATTAGATTTTTCTGTTTGACTAGCTGTTAGCTCTTTGAAGATTTCCTTGGTTGAGCTTGATGAAATAAATTTGAGTCCTATAAGATAAAAAAGAATATTGTATAAAGATTAAAATACCTGTTATTGCCTAGTGGTTCTGCGGTAGAATCTTAATAAATACGTAATACAGTAGTTACATAATAGGCAGTAAGAGGTATTTTAACCTTTATTTGTCAAAGTGATTCAGAATAAAAAACACATCAACATGAAAACCTCACAAGTTATAAAAAAAAGAAGCTTAAGTTGAATTTTAAAACATTAGTTTTAAACTGTTCCCCTTTTTACAGAGATTACGTTACAGTTACAACGATTTAAAAACAATCATTCGAACCCACATTCCATCAGAAAACTTTTTTAGGCCTAAAGTAACCCAATTTACTGATTGTCTTCAGCAGACTAATTCCTGTTTTGCCTCAACTCAAGTGAAGTTAAAAGCCTTCCTTGAAGTGTCAATCTCGAAATTAGGAATGGAAATGAGGAACAAAACCAAAACTGGTTCGAGCTCCTTTGTCTGGTCTCTGGTGATGTAAGTTTTGACTCTTGTTGTATTACATATTACGTTTTGCTCCTGGGTAAAACATTCTCTGAGTTGTAGTTAATGCAATTAAGTAACTACAGTATTATTGTTTTAATTTTTTTTTTATTGTATGCTACTAGTACTAGATCATTTTAGATGTACATCTTTCTCAGATGCGTTATTTAAAATATAAAATAATAGTTACCCACCATTAATTATTCACTCAACAATTGTTTTATCTGTGATCAGAGAGGAAGCTCTGTAGTTAGAATTAATATTCATTTGGTTTAATTCTACAATTTTAATGAACTATTTTTGTTTGTAACTTTATTTTCTAGCCTATTCTGAGCTACGGATTATAGACTATTGTAAAAACTGAAGCTTTTACTCTGTGGTTCTTGTTAAACAAAATAATAATAATGTTTTAATCAATCATTCTTGTGTTACCGGACATGTAAAACCCTTTCCCCTCAACAACAGTAAATAAATAAAAATAAATAAAGAAATTAACATGTGTTGATAGTATACTGGGTATTGCAATTGATTCTTTATACAGGGTGTTGAAAATGTCTGGAACCAACATTATATCTCGTGAGTGGTTAAAGAAAAACAACTGATATTTTGTGTACGGATATACTATGGTTTTACCTATCTTTTGGTGCCTTATGACAATTTTTACCACTTATAGGGAACGTCCTGTGGAGGATGCAGTAAAAAGTTTTAATGGAAGCCTATGGTAAATGATACATCATTTTAAAGGCCATTTTTTTCTGAGTAAGGAGCCACAAGTTTCATCTCAAAAGGACCACCCTAGCAAAAATGGCGACTGTTTGAAATTTAAAAAACCACTTATAGGGAACGGAATTTTTAAATTTCAAACAGTCGCCATTTTCGCTAGGGTGGTCCTTTTGAGATGAATTTTGTGGCTCCTTACTCAGAAAAAAATGGCCTTTAAAATGATGTATCATTTACCATAGGCTTCAATGAAAACTTTTTACTGCATCCTCCACAGAACGTTCCCTATAAGTGGTTATTTAAATTTCAAACAGTCGCCATTTTCGCTAGGGTGGTCCTTTTGAGATGAAACTTGTGGCTCCTTACTCAGAAAAAAATGGCCTTTAAAATGATGTATCATTTACCATAGGCTTCCATTTAAACTTATTACTGCATCCTCCACAGGACGTTCCCTATAAGTGGTAAAAATTTTCATAAGGCACCAAAAGATAGGTAAAACCATAGTATATCCGTACACAAAATATCATTTTTTTTTCTTTAACCACTCACCAGATATAATGTTGGTTCCAGACATTTTCAACACCCTGTATATAAAAAAACACTATAAAGGTAAAATTGTTCTTTTGACTTGAAAAAAGTGGTGATTTAAATTGCTAATTATATCAAAGTAAGTGTCAGTTTGGTCCGAAAAACCAAAACAAAATAAGTACCCTAAATATAGGTAGGCCTACATGTTTGAACACCTTCAGTGAGTGCAACGCAACCGAACATTAATATAGCCTGTAATACCTTGCAACTCCAGCTAGGAAATAATTAACTATTGCGAGACATTTGTAAAATACTGCTGCTACATTCTGCTCTGCAGCCTTGCTGTCTAGCAAGTTGCTCAATCTTGCTGTGACCGCACCCCGGGGCTGTAAAATGTTTTCCAGACTCATTAAAACCAACTTGCCAATACATTTTAGTGTTTATTAGTCAGTTAAATCAAATTGACTGTATTGAGCGTGTGTCCGGAGATTATAAAATACTGAGTGTTATAATTCGGAAGCTAGCTGCCAGCTGCCATATTGAAAATAGCTGCTATTTTGGAAAAAAGTGGATTTAAATCCAATAGTTTCTTAGTTTCTAATGGTGGCACAGTGAGAGTCAATTCGCCATCGCGTTGAACCCTGGAAAAAAATTAAACATACATTTCGTCTTAAACGGAGATTTTGGATGTAGTGTTCTAGACGTTACGAAAGACCTTAAAAAATCACAAACTGCTTTAAAAATACATTTTCCAGGGAGTGGACCTCCGGATCCCTCTCCCATCTAAGGAAACCCCCCTGGTAGCCCCTCCCTTCCCCCCTTGACAAGGTCCTAGACTGGCGCTGCATATTAAAGTCAATGATATTACATCACACAACCTGGTTTACTTGAGGTATTGTTTACGTTTTTTGCAACAATAGCATCTAAACTGTTCATTGTTTCATTCATTCTGTTGTTGTGTCATTCATTGTTTACGTTCAGAGATTAAAACATGTCAAATTTGTGTACATCCAAGCATAGACAAATAGAATAAATATTTATTTATTAAACATATATTTTTCATTCTATTTGTCTATGATCCAAGTGATTAAACTCAGGTTTCAAATCGTAAACCTTGAATATAAAACGAATTAAGTTAAAACGGTGAAAGAATACGAGAGTGGAAGGCAGCGCTGCGTGTAGTAATCGTCACAAAAGGTATAAATTATTTAACTGCCATGCCACGATAAGGGTAATAGGGCACTAACAATGTGACGTCGAGAATAGAGCATACATGGAACTTTCATTCGCAATCATGCATTGTAGTAACTTAAAATATAATTATCATAACTATAGAAAATAAAATAAATCATTCTTATTTAATAAAAGTGTTCGACATACTTATTTTTATAGTTTTAATCATTAAATATTACCATTGTATTGCCAGTGTTTGAAATTATAAATAAATGAATAAAAATATACTTCTATAAAGAATACATTAAAAAAATAACGACTATAGTATAATTATCTCATACCCTAGTTAAAATTATAAATAAACAATAAACTTGTTGAGTAGCTTTCAGACTGAGGAAAGTCTCGACAATTCAAGACTTTCACGTCCAATTCGCCCTCGGGCGTTGAGTTTTGGCCTTTCATACGAGTGCAGTTCGGTTTTAAGAAGTTACGTAACCAACGATTGAAGAATCCGATGTTCGAATAAACCTCTACTGATCACCTCTGTAAGACTTACTTGAGTCCTGTTTAACCCAAACTGTAATCTTTATACAAAAAATCTGTTTAAAGAAATTTGTAATGGGAATTGCAGCAGCAGGGAAATGACAAACTTCATTCTTTGATCTTAAAATGAAACAGAAAAACTCTCGAAATTCCGTTAACAACCTACTTCAATGCTATATTTTTGTCATTATCATGTCAATCCTGTAAATGTAAATATTACGACATTGAATTGATAAATCGCACTTGTACTTGTTCAATTTAGTATAAAAGTAGAGGTCGCGTTGATATAACACTTGAAAATGGTCCAGAACTTCTATCCAAGTCTTATAGAAACTAATAGATTAAAAACGAGAATTGGAAAAGTGACGAAAATGTAATTATTATTTTATCTCGTACATTACAATTAATGAAAATACTGTTAATCAAATTTTAACCAACCAAAAGGTGCTTGAAACAGTACCTTATTCTTCGTTAATTCTCAACAGGAACAGGTTCTTCAGTTAATAAGTTTTGTAGCGAGTTATTTAGTGTATGGGTTAAAGTGGAGTTTTCCTTGATTCGTGTAGTGTAATAGGTCTACGGAACAAGGGGTCTATACTGTAAGTAGGTTCATATTCATCTCGAACCGATGTGATCGCAAGTGAGTAAAGGGGGCGGGTGACAAAAAGTTGATAAATTGCAAGATTGGGGTTCATAAATAAAGTTAGAACCTAGAGGTATGCGAACGGCTCTATTGCTGAGCCAAAGTGAACCTATAACGATTAAGTAACCGAGAAGCAAGTCAGGTATAGAGCAAAGCAAAGCTTCTACTCTCGTAATATTACCGCAATGAGAGACAAAGACAAAGTCTGCAAAGATGGGGCGATCGAAATATATGACGTCACCGCGATCACGACATACAAGACTGCTTTCAGAGTAGACTAATGATTTTCCCCGAGCAAAGCTCGGTCCCCCCAGGTACTGATGATCCAAAATAACCTTAGTAAACTTAATTTTTTATTCTAACAGCTGATGATTAATTCTAATAGATGATTATATAAAGAGAAGAAAGATAACATAAGTGAGCAGACACTTAAAAAAAACATTGACATTGACAGAAACAAAGAGAAGTTAAAGTGTGTGTTGAAGTTAGACTAAAAAGAAATATCGAACTACTTCGAGATAGAAGTCGTAGTGAATGAAAAACAGAACGGAACTGAATGTCCCTTCAGGGCCGTCGTAGTAACCCTACATCTCAATCACCATTGTTTTACGTTTTAATGGCGCTTTGTTGTGTACTAAAGCCAATAGTGGTGACAAACAATGCATATAGGAGTCGATTGGTCGTCGTCGTCGGCGAGTACTAAGAAACATACCTACAGTACTATGTTTGGATATTTAGAGGACAGTCCGGGGAACGATTAGGCAGTTCCTGGAACGAGAATTTTCCTTAATCGTCTTACGAAGATTTGAAGAAATGTAAAGAGGATCAACGCCCTCTTGGAAATCTGACGATCAAAATAGACAAAGTAAATTGCACACGACACAACCTGTTCAATACAATAATTCAATAAGTTTACTTGATGTAGGCGTAAATATTACGTCAACTATGCCCATAAAACACGTACTTTGACGTCTTGTAGTCAGAACAAACAATACGAAAAAGAAATAATACTTGATTATTTTAGTTTTATTTTTGATTATTTCCACCATCAGTTATTGTATTATGTTTTGATTTTGCTAATTAATTAGAAACTGAATTGTGCAGATTCGAGGCAAATATTTTTGCGTAATACGTGAGTAATTATAGTAATGAGAGAATTGTTTATACACTAGTTTGTTTCAGCTCTGATAAATAATACATCGGACCTTCGAAGTACGTATAATAAAAATAAAAAGTATATGAATCAGGTTCTTCACACCTATTTACCACCTAATATTTTCTAAGCCACTTGTTTATTTTAGTCCTTCCCCTCGGGTGCTCAGAGCATTGAATTTCGAAAACTATCAAATAAACTCTCATTACAGCGTCCTAATTTGAATTACTGATCCTGAAATATAACCCCAAAATCCATATTAAGTAGGTAGTCACTATATTTTAAAAAAATGTCGACTTGGATTCTATATACTGTAAAGTAATGATAAAGTGGTATTAAATTTAAAATCAACATTCTAAAGATCATAATCAATCAGTATTTCTAAGGTATAAACTCTATCAAAACAGTTTACACACTTACAAGAATGATTAAATCACGATTTTTAAACGATAAAAAGACGTCGAGATTGAGAACTACGACTTTTACCCTGACTTTTACCACCACCGGTGTAGTGATAAGAGCAGCAAACAAATGATAACTAACTAACAACGCTATGCACGCGCGGATGTAGCCTAAATATACTGACCTGTTTCTGGGCGAAGGAGGCGACCACGACGGCTAACAACGAAAGGACGGCGAGGAGGTCCATGTCTGTCAGCGGCTGCGGCTGGAAGGAGTCTGTCGAGTGTGACCGCGCCGCGTGGAGCGCCACCTCCGTCCTTCCTTGTGCCGTCATGAAGTCACACCTGGCAGCGTCTGGAGGACGTTATGCAAATTATACCAAGTAACCAAGCCACACAACCAACATTACATAATATTTTGTGGGATTATGTTCCTTTGAGAAACTATAAAGGTTTTATAGCTGGAAACTTGCTTGCTTCCTCTTTCCTCTAAACTCATATGGTGTAGGGTAATGTTAATAAATTTTGATTTTAAATAAATAAATAAAAACGCCTTTATTGATCCAGCGTTTCTCAATACTCCTCATAAATAATAAGGAACAATAACTAAACTAACAAACTAATAAATAGAAACCAGTCAATCTAAATAACAAAACTTCACTTTTTATTCACGAACCGTATCACTGTCACAAAACCTCACTAAACACCGTCATTGCTACGAAAGGTAACAACATCTTGTTAATCTGAAATTTAAGCCACTGGCAAAATTTATATAATGCAAAATCCATATAATTCCCAAAGTACCCATGAACTTTTGAGAAAACTACAAGTCACACCCCCATAAACCATATAGGTACTTAAAATGTTCGTCATGACGAGAAACCTTGCGCAAAAATATCCAACTATTTATGGTTGTACTGTAATTCCTTTCTAAAGGGAACATTCCATATACCTACCCTAAGCACCAGATATTCATTGAATATCCAAAGTGGTTGAAATATGTCTAACAGATATCTACATGTAATTAAATATATTTTAAAAATATCTTATCTAATGAATCTGTAAAATATCTGTTAAGATATTCTTTAGATATTTAATGGATATTAAAAGTTTCACATTAGATATTTATATAAGTTTAGATGCAATATCCTAAAAATATTGTACATATTATATTCAGTACTAGATATCCACGAACAGATATCCTGTACATAACAATCGTACACATTGAGATTGGCGATTGATTATAAACACGATTAATACTGAAGTGCATTATTGTTTTATCAAGAACTAGTGGCCTGTAGGGGCCATAGCCCCTAATTTAGACTACAATAAAAACCCATATAAAAAGACAAATATTCTAAATATGTTTCTAAAATTATCAATTTTATGTTACTTAAAATTAACAGTGTTTCTTGTTTTATATCTTGGTTTTCATTCCGTTGGAGTCGTATATTAGTTGCTTCTAATGTGTCAATGAAATAGCCTACAATTTTAAAATAATGATTAAATCAATAACACAACATATTACAAATGGAAACGTGCACACGGTTGGCCGGAGAGCGACAAATCAGAGCTGAAATCATACAGCCAAACATTGCACATCTTTTCTAGTTTAAAATTGAAGATTTGTTTTGTAATCTTACGAATTCTGTTATAGTTTTCATTTTGAGAACCAAATGTAAAGGTTAAAATTATTATTATTAATTATTATGAAGGCAACTCCCCATTTAGTGGTGGTAGTCAGAAATATCTATGAATTTGTCCCTGAATTTTAAGACAGTAAGGCCCATTTCCCGGAATCTCTTTTTGTGTAGCGGAAAACAACACAATAGCAATTGCACTGTTGTATTGCCTTACGTTTTTTATGAAGTTCGAATCATGTAAAAACAGTTAGTTCGTCATTTACTTGTGGTTGTGGCATGTCCATTGTGGCAACATGCGTTGAAATGAAATGTCCATTTTGTGGCCTCCTCTGCGAAGTGAAATGCACCACAATGCAGGCAAGCGCTTTAAGAGGACCTAGATTGTGGGAAACAACTCAACTCATTTTCCAGCGTTCTTCTAAAGACAGGTTGTAAAACAGCTCCTGGATTTCTTTCACAGTTATGCCCTACATGACTGTTGAATTCCTGGACACTCTTCCACGTCTTGCAGCTTGCAGGTCTTCCCCTACCCTGTCTAGTTACGTCACTTATTATAAAAACGGAAAACAAAAAAATTTTTTTTTTTATCACAATTTTATTTACAATCTGTTCATTTTTAGAACATTTAGCAAATACAATAACAAATTTTAATAAAACGTTAGTTAATCTCTGTCCATTGACAGAGCTAACTTAAAAATATTTCAATGAAAACATAAATATGTAAATAAACAAGGGAAAATTAAATTGTTCAAACAAAACGTGTGCTTAGATCCAAAACATGAATCCTTTTTAGCCTGTATATACTGGTGCTGTTGTCCAAGAGGTTTAGAGCCAGGTGATTAGGGTGATTTTCAAGTTTCTTTAGATATTTTGCACTAAATTTGGTTATTTCCTCTTCAACCGTAGGAATTCCACTGTCCTTGTGAAGGATATTGTTATTAACATACCACGGGGCTTGCAGAATGAACCTTAAAACTTTTGACTGAAATCGTTGGATAATGTTTATGTTCGACATACTGGACGTTCCCCACAGTTGGATTCCATAAGTCCAAATTGGCTTCAGTATTACTTTGTATAGTAATAATTTATTTGCAATGGTCAATTTTGATTTACTATTTAGGAGCCAGGAAAGATTTTTAAATTTTAAATTTAGGTACATTCTTTTATTCCAGATATGGGTTTTCCAGGTTAATTAATCTTTTGTCAATCGTCATACCGAGATATTTCACATCGTGGGATTGCGGAATTTGGACATTATTTAAGGTTACAGGAGGACAAGTACCTAATCTGGTAGTGAAGGTCACATGAGTAGATTTGCTCTCATTCACTTTTATTTTCCATGTTTGCAACCATTCTTCTAAGTCATCTAGGGAATTTTGAAGATTAAGTGAAGCTACCAATGGATCAGGATGGGACGCTAAAATAGCTGTATCGTCAGCAAAAGTGGCCACAGAAGTATTCACATTTTCAGGTAGATCGGCTGTAAACAGAGTATATAGTACAGGTCCGAGAACACTTCCTTGGGGAACGCCAGCTTGAATTGGGTACAATTTTGTAATGCTATCTCCAAATTTAACTCTGAAATATCTGTCGGTTAGGTATGATTTAATTGTCATATAAAATGTATGAGGAAGATTCAGTTTGAGTTTATAAAGTAGGCCTGAGTGCCAAACTTTGTCAAAGGCTTGACTTACATTTGAACAAGGTACATAGATTGGTTAATACAATTAAAGAAGACCTTGAGAAAAAGAAAAAAAAAATAAACACAATTCATTTTGAAACATTATTTACCAACATTGACTTTCGGAATAAATGTAAACATTGCAAATAAATAAGTAACAGCTGATAGAATGCAGACGTTTTTCAGTCCCCATGCATTTCTTATTGTGGATATTTTACGTTATATCATAGATAAAACATACTCCCTTAGTAGATTTCTCATCCTTATGGAACAGCTGAAGACAATGTTATTGTTAGTTCTGTACGGTTTTCTGCAGATGTCGTGTTTTGTTTATAATTTGTTTCCCGTTATTACAGCCATTTAAAACCTCGTTTAACCAAATAATACGATCTAATCATAAACAATAACTTGTCCCCTAGTTATATAACCAAACAGTAAAACACAAATCAAGAAATTAACCCTAAAATAATAGAATCAAAGTTTCATCGACACTAGCGCCCATGTGTCACGTACATGAACTAGACACGAAAAACGTGCTTCAAAATTTACAATGGAATGAGAAGTCTACTTGTGTTGGTTAGTCTATGGTTATATCTCGTTTTCTGGTAACTTTATGGGAGTTCTGCTATTTTTCCCGAGTCCCTGGGGTCGAGACCTTAAATTTAAGACCTCTCCCACTTTTCTGCGACTTACCAGACGTCCACAATTTTCTGGTAAAAATTTCGTCTTACAGAATTATATATATTAATAGGTATAGTTAGTGAATGTTACAGTTAGCCTTATTAAAACACAGGATCTAAAGTCATCCAACAAATCAACAAACACTCATCAAACTAAAACTTAATTGTAGTTTTTATGTGGTTATTTTGTCAGGATGAATTAATTATGGTATGTTGTAATCCGTGCTACGCTTTAGAAAAATTAAATAATTTTTATCAGCCCAAAGTAGACAATAAATTGCATTAGTGATGTTTACGTGAATGACTACACTTTTCCAAAGGGAGTGTTTCATTGAAGTCAAAAAATTTCAGTCAGAAGGTAAGAAATGTGCATTACACCTGGAAATATACAATAACACAAGTCTCCACGATCCAAAAGTTGTAAGAAACCCCAAAGAAAAACTGTTAGTTCCCTAAAAACATTATACCATTGACTTTGAATATATGATTAAACGCCTTTTTATAATAATAATACACCTGCTTATAATAATAATAACAATAATGCAAATATTTTATTTTTAATTAAAACTCTTTAACTTACTTGAGGAAATTTTATTGGTTGAACAATTTAAGGGGAAATATTAATTAATCATATAACAATTATTATAAAATTACTAATGGTAATTAATTAATCTATATTCAGATATCAGAATTAATTTAACAACTTGATGCCTAAACAGAATCATAGTATCAAAAATACAAGTATTGCGACCATTGCAGCTGTTGGCTCCTCTTTAACTGCTTGAAAACTAGTAATATCAACTATCACAGATATAACTTCACGAACTTCAACCAGGACGTGATTGAGCCATGCGAACGAGATCGTCTTGAAAATTAAGAAGTTAAACACGGGCTTTGGGTTACAGCTAGTATAGATTAATTATTTACCATTAGTAATGTTATTATAATTAATTGTTATATGATTAATTATTATTTCCCTTTAAATTGTTCAACCAATAAAATTTCCTCAAATAAGTTCAAGAATTTTAATTAAAAAAAAATATTTGCATTATTATTACGAGCTGTTGGGTGCGTCCTACGTACAGGAATCGAGTAGTCCATTAAAACTGTATATAGTGTGTCTATTACTAATTCAAGCATAGTTTAAGCAGTTCAAAATTTATAGTAAAGAAAAAGCTTCTAAGATGAATTAAAACATGTGATCATTGTTATTTTCCCAACCTTTCCTCAAAAAGTCGAGTAGTAAAATAATTTTCATAAGCTTTCTTTTGAAGATTCGTGAGCTTCGCCCTATGGATATAAATAGCACATCAAAACATAGCTTACCTTTTGCC